TAAAGACCCGTCGGGGTCCCATCAAAGCAAGTAAAAATAAATTTACATGCAAATTATAGACGATGTAGGCAAAATCTGCACAAAGTGCAATGCATAGTTTTTGAGATTAGAAGTCCGTTAAGCAAAATGAAAATGAAAAAAACGAGGGGTGAAAAAAAAACTCCAAAGCAAAATTTAAAAATGATTGTAGGAAATTAACAGGAGAAAAAAAACCCCTCAGAAAAATAGCATCAGAAAAAAAAGGGAGGACTGGCCTGCATGTGGCGGTACAAAATGGAATAAAGCCCGACATCAACATGGCCGAAATAGATGTCAGCTGTATATGGCATTGTGTAACGGATTTCATAAAATGGTACGTAGGCGGGTCGGTCAGGACTGGCCTGTATCGCCTTGAATAAGAAAAATAAGTGCCGAAATTGAAAACCAGTCTCAAGCCGATAGGAACCCAGATGCGGTCAGTTTCATTCAACCGAGTCCATCCGAACATGGAGGGAGATGCGACCAGACTAGTAGTATATGGCGAATATAGAAGGCTTTGACAAGACCGCCGATGGAGCGCATTCTGTAAGGGCATGATGACAACCAGTCTCGAGGCGACAAGAACCCAGATGCGGTCGGTTTCATTCAACCGAGTCCATCCGAACATGGGGGGAACATGGGGGGAAGGGAGATGCGACCAAACTACTAGTATATGGCGAATATAGAAGGCTTTGTCAAGATCGCCGATGGAGCGCATTCTGTAAGGGCACGATGACAACCAGTCTTGAGGCGAAAAGGACACAGATGCGGTCTGTTACATTCATCAGAGTCCATCCGAGGATAGGGCAAATGAGATGCGACCAGATTACTAGTATATGGCTAATATAGAAGGCTTCGCCAAGAGCATCGATGAAGCGCATTCAGTGAGGGCATCATGAAGATCAGTCTCGAGGCGATAGGAACCCAGATGCGGTCGGTTACATTCATCCGAGTCCAACCGAGGATGAGGGAAGGGAGATGCGACCAAACTACTAGTGTATGGCGAATACAGAAGGTTTCGCCAAGAGCGTCGATGGCGTGCATTCTGTGAGGGCACGATGCATGAACCAAAAAATTGGAATAATTAACATTTCTGGTGAGATATCTTAGGTAGCGAGACTACTCATAAAGGAAGGAAACGTGAACAGATACGGAAATTTAATAGCGGCATGCTAAATTCCCGGTGGCCCTTTCTCAGTGTCATAGAAAAAGTTGTCTGGGAAGGATGAGGAAAATAAAAGTTTAATCGAGTCAGTATTCAGATAAAGGCGTAGCCTTCTCTTAAAGATGTGTAGATTTTCTGAAGATCTTATATTTATTGGAAGGTTATTCCAGAGGAAAGTATACCTGGAAGCGAAAAAAAGGGAGCGTTTAGAGGTGGAGGACGCTGGAAGAGGTATAATTAGAGACGAATTTCGAAGATTGTATGGGCGACTACTAGGGGTAAGTGCTGAAATCCGAGGAAAATTTGAACTATGATTAATGCGAAAGAGGAGACAGAAGCCCGCTTCTAGTCTTCGAACCCATAAAAATTTTAGGTTAGTTAGTTGGCACCTATCTGAGTAGGAGATATTGGGATGTTCCCTATCTAAAAGTTTTTTTGAAAAATGTCTTTGGACATTTTCAATTTTTAAACGACTGGCTTCATTCATCAAACCAAAGAATGGGCAACAATACTCGAGAATGGGAAGTACAAACATACGATAGAGCCTTAATTTAATTTCAGGAAGATAGAAATTGTAAGAAATAAAGCCACAAATCTGGGCAGCTTTGGCTGTAATTCTGTCAGCGTGCGGCGAGAGATCAAGATTACTAGTGTAGCTGAAACCTAAATCCTTGATGGTGGTACATTCAGTCATAGGTGTTCCTTGAAAGACCACAGGCCGGGGTAGCCTATCAGGTCCAAAACACATATAACGACATTTAGACGGAGAGAATTCCATTAGCCATTTTGAGCTCCAAGCTGAGAGAGCAAGCAAGTCAGCGTGGATTTGCTCCAGGCAATGAAGGCTCGTAGATTTTTTGAAAGAATATACACATTTGAGATCATCGGCATAATTAAATGATTGAGAATGTTTAACTGCGGCTGAAATATCATTTATGTAAAGCAAGAACAAAAGAGGACCTAAAACGGTACCTTGTAGGACACCGCTCACAGTAGGACTTTCACTGGAAAGTGAAGATCCCACCGAAACCTTTTGTTTACGATTAGACAGGTATGACCTGAGAAAGTCTATTAGTGGACTGCGAATTCCCATAGCTTCCAATTTAACCAAGAGCCGAATTCCGTTGTATTATCGGAAAACGTTGAGGCCTTCAAAAGAAGACAAGATAAATTTATGCTTAATGGTCAAACATCTGCATGATCTCAATGACTGGCATAACTGCTATGCAAATATCTGCTGTTTTTCATACATCTATCTGTAGCTAGGGTTTTCCAAAACACTGCCTCTATCAGTTCAGTTCAGTTCAGTTTATTGAGGGAAATGTAGGTCTTTACCTTTGAACTCCCTATCCCTCATATATACTGAATTATAAAACGTTCGAAAGTTTATGTCTTCAGTATACATGGCAATGTCGTAGTCCAACCCACGTATACATTCATCAACATATATGAGGAAGAGAGTAGGGCCAAGAACAGAGTCCTAAGGTACTCCCCTCGCAACCGTCACCTCTGCCGATTGCTAGTCACCAAGAGGTTTCCTAGAAGTTTCCCGTCCATTTTCAAAGTTTACCCTTTACGCACACGCGGCTGAGCTTGCATGGCAGACGTTGGTGTGACGCACGATGTAGGCTACATGAACCACATAGCCTCCATCGATCGCTCGGGCCAGCCGTTATAGACAGGACCTTCCTCTGCGGAATTCATGTTGCCCGTCAGATAGCAGATGATGCTGTTCTAAAAACTGCATCGGTCCAAGACTGATAATTCGCTCCATAACTTTGCACACGTGGAGGTGAGGCTTGCCGGTCGGTAGTTTTTTGTGGAAGCGTTGCCGCCACGCAATCGTCCACTCCGGAGGCGGTCTGCCTGTGCCGAGGGAGGCTTGGAAGAGAAGACCTAGATTTTCTGCCAACAACTTTGCTGGCATTTCATCAGGACCTGGCGATGTTGCTTCTTTAAACTGCATTAGTTCTGGTTGAATAAAAGCTTTCCTAAGAACCACCAGGTCATTTTTCGGGATCTCATCCACATCATAGTTATCAGCGGGTAAATCGACTTCTCTCGTAAAAACCGACTATACGAACTTGGATAGATGTTCAGCCTTTTCGTCGTCCTTGCAAAGTTCAGCGTTCAGGGGTGAATAACTGTTGCGAGTGCTTTTTCACGAGTTGTTGAAGAAAATCATTGAGTTTCCTGTACGGCTTAGCAGGTTGCCCTTAAAGTCTTGGCGGGATTTGTAAACAAGACAACTTCTTCCTTTTCGTTGATTCGATATTCATTGTTGGAAGTGCCTACAACCCCAAAAACAAGGACCAGCCAATCACGTGCGTTTACTCTAGCACGCTATAACATGATGGTGGTGACTCGTCATTATCTGCTTCCCTCAATCCCGATTGGCTCGCGCAGGGGAGAAATCGATCAGCTCGTCCTCAACTTTCGATTCGACGTGCATTGGACCAAAGTGTAGGCGAACCCCAGTGGGATGTCTTAATTAAGCGTAATTTTTCCAGTTAAAGTGATTTGCAGTATCCTATTAAACTTTTAATGACCGGTCCTGTTCATATTCTCCGTTGCGTTGGTATTGGAGACAAGAGTCGCGTGATTTCGAAGTACTAGGTCGGGTCATAACAGTCTTTCTCCTTGGGAAAGGTTCCCACAGCATTTGTTTGTGGTTTAATTCACTTTTCGATGTGTCCGTTAGCCATGGGGACCTGCAACTAGTCCTTTATTCCGACAAAGGAGAGCATCTGGTGATTGTACTGTGATCCGATCGCATTGTCAATGTGTGCAACTTTATTTTGAGTGTGAATCTGCGAGGGCATTGTACATAAATAGAGCCATCAAGGGCACGCCTTCTAACCTTTCAAATACTTCCATACATTCAACTGTACAGTACGGCCGTAAATCCTAACCAGTCCTCAAGAACGCGCCCCGTGAATGTTGCTTTCCAGTCCATGTGACTCATGTCGGTATATATTTAATTAGAATCTCCACGCCAAATGTTGCGTTTGACCGTAAAGCTTTTATCAGGTAAAAGGGAGAGAGAATACTTCCACTGTAATACTACAGGGTCGCTTTTCCTGAGAGTGCGTGGACAGTTCACGACGTCAACGTTGTCAGGCACTTTTGTCAACATAAGTTCCAAGAAGTTGGCTAGTCGCACTTCACGTTGTCTGGGTGGATATTAAACGCATTGTGTGAGATGAGATCTTCGCACTGCTTGTAGGAGCCAGCGATCGAAGGTGAATTGTGAGCTTGAGGCAGAAGTCGTATTTCAGTTTATATCAGGAGCGTTTAAGTCGCCTATAATCATGAGATCGGATCGAATCGAAATCGCTTCTAATTGCTCTACAAGACTCTTGTCTGAATGCGGGTGGCTCCTGGGTAGGCGGTAGACCGTCAGGATCTCGATAGCTTGTGACGACGGCGTTTTGATGGTGAGCCAAATTGTCTCACTTGTGCGTGTGACCAGTAGCCCCTTTTTCTGACACAAGCGGGCCATACTTGATACATATGAGCACACCACCACCTTGACGTCCCACTTTGTCATTTCTAAACAAGCGATAACAAAGAGAGCGGCTTCGCGATCGTCCACGTTTGCGGACAGTCACGATTCAGTTGTGGATATTACATCTCGTAAGGTTTGGCCTATGATAATCGCAAGCACGTCTAATTTAGACAACAGAATTTGTGTTTTGGAACATGAACATTTTTGTTTTAGCTGTGGTAAGTCGAGATAAGTCTGCTCAGCTCACATTAGGAAGACTAGATATCGGCGTAGCCGCAAACTAGCAATATATTGAAGACTACACAATGGATGTTTGGGATACTGAAGACGAAAGCTGAAAACCGAAAGGCCGTAAAACCAAGTTTGTTTAAATATATCAAATTATGCAAATTACCTAGAAATAACCGCAGCACCGGCTTGAAGGTACCGTAATAAAATTTTTGCATGCGATGAAGTTAATTGGACTTTAATATTGAACAGTTTGTTCCTAGTATATTTTTTTATAATATATTTAATATTCTCGCTTTCTATTTAGCTGTCAATTATTTAATTTTTTAGTTTTTTGAAAACAATAACTTATCTGAGTCAATGCATTTAGTTATAAGAGAGAATGGCCAAAAGTCGCTGTTTCGCACTGAATTTCTGCAAAAGCATTTCACTTTACACAACATCAATTATCTTCTGCTTGTATGGTTGTAAAAGCCATCTTTGTTTTGATCTTAGCCTATTTGCCTCACTGAGTCGGCTTTATTGGTTTCGGAGACACTAATTAGCCCTACGCACCGATCCGCGAAAAACGCGCTGTGAAATCTATCCCACGTTTAGCGACCACTACTCGCCAGAATCCTTAGTTTACTTTCATGTCGAGGTTATGCATGTACACAATAGTGGAGACGATATATCGTCTCCAATTATTACGTTATACCGGAATTTTAAAAATAGTTAATCTATAGACAGTTGAAAAGATATGTGCTCAAATCAGCATTTTTGTCGCATCAATATGGCCCTTGAAATTTCCGCAACGCTGTTGTAATAGTCCCGAATTCTCTCATTAGAAAGAGTGCAATTGTCAATGCTAGGAAACTACATAGCCTCTATTAAGTCACTGAAGGGAATTATTTTACAACCATTTAGGGATTTCTTGACTTTGACAGGCGAAATCATATGGGACTGTCGTCCATGAGCGCACAAGTTGTAATTGGAAACCATGCGCATAGATAAAGTGTTTGACACACTCTTTCATCAAGCCAAACATCAACAGAATACGAGCTGCTTTGAAGAAGAGCTGTGATAATTATTTCGTGTGCACATTTTCTACGATCTCACTGAATCCCTGCAATAATTGCAGATTACCCAGAAGCATAAACACTTTTCAAGTTGTAAATTATGAAGAAGTTGCAAGGTTTAAGTGCGTTATGTCACTGCGAAAAAGTACCGAGTAATAATGCTCCTTCTCCCAATCGTTGTTGCAACTTCATTTAAGTGACTTTTTGAAATCAAACGCCCGTCAAAGTATTTTTGTAGATCTCACATGATTTTCAGCCTCCAAGGTAGGTAGCTTGGAATAAAATAGACATCTAATTCTGACCGTCTCATAGCTCTTGCATACGTCAGCGATGCTGACCTTGTTTGCGAACAGTAGTCTGCTTGGCAGGCGATAGCCATATTATTACTAGATTGTGCTAATTTTTCTTTCTGTGGTTAACTGCATACCAAGAGGTGTTTACCGCACGATTGAGCCCCTGCGTTCTCGTGCGATGTCTAGTTCGTTAGGTATGACGATAAGTCACAAAGGCCTGTGGCTGCTAAAGCTTTGTAATAAAAAATCTGTTGGCGTCAAATATTTTTCGGAAATAGTGTGAATAAACTTCGATTGGATAACTGTCTGGAATACTCTGCGTTTTAGAGCGCTTGGAAAATATATGAGACCGACCTACTGAACATTAGTCAAAACTGAAGGCATGAAGACTGTCTTACCAAATCATTATGCTGTCATGATTAGGCTACAGGTTTTCATATACCCAGTTTGGTATTTATATTCAAAAAAGACCCAGACAACTTTCGATCTTAGAATTGTTAACGGATGAAGGAAATTGTGTAGCAGTAAATTTTGACCAGACAGGCACCAAAATTACATCACGCCTGTAAAATCATCTCCCTGCAGCGTCAGCAAGTTACTCAGATAGGTACGTCTTGGACACTTTTGTATTTCGAAATCCGAGAAATCCGATTGTTAAACTCCGATACTTTCCCGGCACAGCCGCCGAGTTGCAGTGTTGGCATGAGACTCACCTTCGGCGAAAAGAGGAGATCGTTCACTACTTTCAGCGTTGTGATTTACGTTATGCTTTATGTCACCGTCGGCATTTGTGATAATGATACTCTCAAAACCACGTTTAAATCTAGCCAGTAGCACTTGACTGGACAAACCCAGACCTCCTAAGTGAGGTTTTGAGGTTTGACCGAAAGACAGACCATTGATCGGAGCCGTCTCCAGTATTTTCAATAAACTGGTAGAGACCTAATGCCTTTAGTTCCCGAGACGACCAGTAAATCACTTGGCCATCGCAAAGGAATGTCAGCAAAAGTACAAAGTAATCATATAAGCGAAACTGGTATACAAAGTGAGGAAAAACATGCAGTGACACACCTAAATCAACGAAACGCCAGATGGAGGGGGAAGGAGGGCGGGGATCTAGGCATTAAACGCAGCACATTTCTGTCGAAGTACTTTCGATAAGAATTACTTTGTTAGAAATACTTTCAGACAACATAACTATAACGATGGCTCAAACTACCGCGCTTTCTGTCGGACGCGAGCATTACTCACACACGCTCTTTGGACCCTAACTGAAGTAAGTGAATACGTGGCTAGGACGTATTCAAAGCCGCCAGCTGTCATTTCGCGCCGATTGTATTTTGAATTATCTTTAGACCGTAGACGTTCGTTGAGTCTGGCGCAGTTGGGGACAAAACGGCTAGATTGTAAAAACAGGAGGATTACGGTGGATGTGGACAACCAAACACGCACTGGAAGTGGGGTGGCAAAATGATAACTCCCAGGTCGAGGTCAATTTGACGGGACTTAGTTAAACTGTCGATTTGGGTGGGGCTGAAAGTCGCGCAGGCGATGGCGACATTGTGAATCGGCGATTGCTTGAGTCATCGACCCCTGACCCACCGTCTATCAACAAACGCAACTATATGGCAAATCCCACTAGATTCTAGGCGTTTTGCATTAACAGAGTTACTAGTTACGCGTAGGCGCGAGGGTAGTCATTGCATCTACTGCTAGGTACTTATTATGACATTCATCTGCATTGATGGTGATACCGAAACGCTCGACGAATTGGATGCGGACAGCAAAGTTTTAATCATATAAAGTGTGAAACATTGCAAGAGATGCGTGAGACACCAATTAAGTAGAGAAGTTTTTAAAACAACAACACTCCTCGGAAATGCGTCAGGCTGTACCTGGTAATGGGTTCCAGAGTGAATCCGAAATGACCGGCGATCCAATCCCCTCCTCGAACGCACGAATATGCAACCAAGGTAACGACTCTCAAAATGACCCACGAGGCAGTATGATAAATGCTAGCTTCCAGAAATAAAACCATGTTCCGGAATAGGTAGTGCCTTCTTGCGCTTTCAGATAATCTGTTCCTTATAATGACTCAGTCGAGCAGCAACAATTTCTTCTCAACTGGACAAACAGGACGAAACCAGCGTGGAAGCTATCTAAATGTGCTTACTCTTGTGTTTTTTATTTCAACTTTTAGCTAGGGTTCACTTCCCAGGCCCTGACAATGGGTGCCGACTACTATTATCTTTTGGCCATTAACGCTGATGCAACGCAGGATGAGATTCACAGGGCGTATGTTCCTTTTCGGTCGAATAACTTCTTCTAGATACCGACGATTGGCCCTGAAGTACCACCCTCAACGCAATCGAGGAAAACCAGACACATATGAGAAGTTCTTTTGGATCTCAGAGGCCTATGAAGTGTTGATTGACCCTCAACTTCGGGCTAGGTATGACCAGTACGGTGAAGAAGGCCTCAAACATGGTGCACCATTTCAGACCTGCATGCCTGAAAAGTATGCCTACCACGGCGATCCCTATAGGACATTTCAAAACTACTTTGGTGGCACAAATCCATTCCGAGGTAAGTTGTGGGTTTTGTGATAGAAGCCGAACTCTGAGAGCTTGAGCATGAAGTCGATTTTGTTTCCCAGACATTTGAACTGCACATATTCGGGTGTTAATAAAAGTGGTTAAATCGACAGCCTGCTACAATAATAAGGGTTGTACTGACAGCACAAGGCAGAGAGTGATCGATATGCGGAGGGCGTAGACGTTCGTTGCGGTTGTAGGCTATGGCCTGTCGGTAGCTTCTTCAACCAGGTCCGCCTTCTGCAGTAACTGTTACTGAGGATTCAAATTTGGTTTCTTAGCAAAGCGCAGTGCTTCAGCGAACAGTTGTTGATTCTGTAAAGCGCTACACCTCTCTACGGGGGCGTCAATCGCATTATACACCTTGCCATCTCAATCTCTGTTACTGTTACGCCTTTCCTCTTCGAGATGTGACCGAAAAACCTGGGAAACCTGGTTCACCGCCAGACTGATGTCGGATCCGTAAACCAGAACCAAATAATTTTTTCCTCAAATCCGGCACTTGAGTGTCCTAAAAGAGGTGACTCGTCCTGGTGATGTATAGAGTTCCGGCACCAAAAGCAACGGGCCTGTCCGCTACTTTGTCTTTGCGTGTTCCTTACTTCGTTTTCATCACCACTTTTATCAATGTACTATAAATTACATGAGCTGAACTCATGACCTACAGCATTACACCTCACGATAGGAAGGCTGTTGCCCTGATAATTTTCAAACGGGTTATTCCTCAGATCTTTCGCCGATAACCATTCCTACTAACTCTAAATGTTACCGATGTATGGTGACGGCGCTTGCACCTCCGTTCATCCGACTTTGGTTTTTCGAACAGCCTGAGTTATGCAACAGAGTTGTCATGCTAACAGTTTATCGCGGCCACAGTGACGTCTGGTTTGCTGAAGCGTGTCCAAATTCTTTGGTTGGGGTTTCGTAATAAGATGCATTTATGCCATTGTGACTAATTTCTATTTAGATAGACAGGGATTCCGGAAGCCAGTAGATTATGGTGAAACAGGCTGTGAGGTAGCAAACATGACTTGTGCGTAATGCCAAAGTGGCTGGCTTCAGTCGACCTCCTTTCGCTGACGTAATTAAACAAAAGCACTACTTATAAAACGCCAGTAAGAAAAGCAGTTTGCATAAAGGTTTAGGCGAGTTTTTTACAATCCGCGATAGTGGTCGTCATAAAGAAGAAAATTTGCTTGGTCTGGTAGCAATTTCCTTGCTTTATTGGGAGGACGACAACAGGAATGTAATCCAAAAAATAAATATGTTTTTAATTTTTCAGAATTTCCACAAGAAATGGAAATTGAGCAGATGGAGAACTTTGGCCGCAAGGATGGACGCGGCCAACCAAAGAAGGGTGACCCGACAATTTGCGATCTCCTGCTGACCCTCGAAGAAATTTACAATGGATGCATCAAAAAGATGACTATAACACGCAGGGTGAGTTAAATGGTACTTAAATTTGCAAAGTCGAGACTGAAATTGCAGTAATAACTGAAGTAATTTTATCTCGCATGAGTGGTGAAACGATATAAGCACTTGCGATGTGTATATTTGCTTGATAAATTCACTGGGTTTACTCTGTCAACTTTAAGTGGCTGACGGGTTAAATGTAGCATTGTGGGGGTAACCGTCCTTTCAGCGAACGCCAAGCCAATGGTGATAACTTAAATATGAGCTTGGAGAGAATTCAGACCGCGTATTTCAAATCTGAAGGGAGTAGTTAGTGATTTCATCCTGAAAGGAAGGCACAAGGGAGTGAAACAATCCATAAATAGTGTTTTGGTCCGGTGCATAACTTCATCCTTCACAACAGCTTGGTCGGGCCAGGCGTCATATGCTCCTGCTTCAGTCAAGGCGTTCATCTAACCCCATTGATGAGACATGGGAGTAGGAACCGCTGCAAAACAGGGGGCTTTGGGGCAATATTCGAGAGCTGGCAAGTATTCCCGTGTGCAAAATTTACTCCTGACTCTATTCCTATCTAAAACCTGGTAGGATGTGGTTATGTAGCTACACCTGAAAGACACAGTACTGTTGACCTACCTAATTATTTTGAGCTGGTGTGATTACGTTGGTATGGCGTTTCCGCGCTTTGCAGTGTGTGTTCTTTTAGCGTCCTTGCGTCTTTGTTGCCGTGTCTACCCTTTTTGACCCAATGCAGGTGGTTCTTGTTGACTTTCGGCCTGTCGTCTCCTTCTGACTTTCGCGTTGGCTGTTTCAAGGTTAGGATCTACGGCTGCGGTCAATGATTAGGGTTGGGGTTAGAATTAGGGGTTCAGGTTTAAGGTAAGGATTAGGGATGAGGGTTGGCGGTTAAGGATAGGGGTCAGGGCAACTATTTCTCAACCGCTTAAATAACAACAATGCATACCCAATAGTTTTCTTTTTGCATGCAATAAATTGACCTCGTCGCCTGTGCGTTCCCCGGCCCCAGCTGTAAAAACTCCTATTACCACCGGTCCCATATTATAGATGACTGGGGTTTATTAACCTCAGGTACGGCTAAATGAGCACATCTGATCCAAAAGTTTAACCGTGGCCGTAACCCTAACCCCGACCTTCACATTAAACCTAATTTCTTTGGAAATTTTCGTAAATTCATCGAAATATGGAAGGTTCCTATCCCTATGCCTTGCCGGTCTTGCCAGAGAGAATATCTCAACGAATGAAACCTAAAAGGCTTCTGCCGGAACTTCGGGCCATCGATCCGGATTCCAGAGCTAACTGGTGCATAGTCTAAAAACACAAAAAATGGGTCTTCTGCCGAACATGCACATTTGCCTATTTTTATGCACACTCTGAATCCCCAACTGACACGAAGGCGACTTCACTGGAATGCATCCTAACTAACAGAGAATGTCTGATCGTCTTTTTACTCTGACATAGCAGCTGCTTTCGAGTAGGCATTTAAATAAACGTACTACTTTGGAACCATGCAGTCGGCATATTTAAACCCGTTTCTTGCACGCCCGGTCACAACGCATGGACAACCGAGGATGCGTCTACTACGTGAATTTAGTCAACGAGGAGAATAACAGGAATTTTGCTGCAACCACTGTGAGGAAGAGTATGGCCGCAAAAGAGGTCAGTTATCCAGACGGACTTCCCTAGGTGCGAAGAAGAGTCATTTTAGTGTGGCACTAGCGCCCAACACCTTTTTCCGGACGCAGCCATTAATAAGTAATGCAAAGGTGAGGGAGAGAGAGGAGAAGAGACTTATTTGTCACTTGATATGTTCATTTCCTCATGCAAGCCAATGTCCAAAATACGTTTTGCTCCTCGGTTATTGATGAACAAGTGGGTGGCAGTATGATGCTAAAAAGATGCACTGAGGTTGGCTTACCCAGGACCTTCGCTAACGTTAAGAAACCAGTGCCTATGGAGCACAGAGGTTTAGCATTGTAGCGTTAGAAGACACTATACTAGCAGCGCAGGTGCAAGCTAGACCTCAGTGCAGACTGATTTACTACAAGTTAGCAGTACATTTCTGAGGAGATTAAAAAGCAACAATTTTTAGATGGGAGTATCTACCAGAAAACACACACAGGAAGGCTGGGGGACTCACTGAAGAACTGAAGTCCTCGCGGCTGTTCCATGCAGCGGCAGAATATCGACGAAACACGCGCGTCTGGGCTTTTAGCTATTATCTGTGCTCTTAGTATGGTATCTCATACGAATATACTACTAACTGCCTCTAGGCGGTTGAAGAATATTAAGCGGCTATCCCGCTGTGGCTGATGGACTTCGGCCCTGATATTCGTACATCAAATTTCGATCTACGCATACAGACCTTAGTTTAAACTGATATACCTCAAGTTAGCAGTTAATTCCCGAGGAAGAAAAAAAGCAACAATTTAACATTCATACTTTGTCCAGGCACAAACTCGAGTCCACCTGGCAGACAAAAGGTTTATTTCCCCCACAGACTGATGGTACTAAACTAAATGAGCCGATTTGGAACGGAGACCGCAAGGTACTGGTTCAAAATATCCCTGGACGTCACTTTTGGCAACGAAAGGAAACCTTTTGTCAAACCTATCACGAGACACTGTCTGTGGCCCTCAACTGCCTCATCTCTCCCCAACCGTTCTCAGTTACTACCACCGCAAATCTGTGCACTACCGACCTCTCGAATCAGATTTGGAGTATTCATATCAAAATTTGACATCTTCCTAGAATTGTGCCGCGATTTTTGACGGTCGTCAGCGTGCAGGAAATGTTGTTAGGTGTGGAGAAAGTGTTTCAATGCACAATTTTCAAACCTAATGCAAACGGTTTTATCCTCATTCACACGAAGGAGAGACCCAAACCAGCTTGTAGGATTTACAGATATCACCCACTCCCCATCGGACTGCATAAGTAGTAAAGTGTGATAACTGTGTTATGTTGTTCACCGGCCCTGATCAGATTGCGTAGAAGAACTCAGTACTATAGCATGACACCAAGACGAAGTCAGTAATCGTGCTTGATAGTGACTGATTCTACCTAACTAATCCTCGAAGGCCGTGTCAGTAGGTTTAGAGTGGAATATCATTCCACTGCATAACAATACCATCTCTCGGAAAAAATGTGGTTTTGTTTGTGAAATGCCAACAACCGCAAATAAGCTGAAAGTAGGCATGCTAATCTCCCGCTAGTTTTTTTTAACAAATCTGTCAGTTATTGTTTAAAACAGTTGTTAGAGTCGCTCTTCTCTCCTTACGGGGCACAGAGACTAGACGGATTGTTGGCAAAAAAACTGCCCAGAATAAATTTAGAAAGAGTTATGCGCAGAAAGTCTCGTGCAATGCACTCATCGATGCCAGCAGCTGCGCAGTATATATATGTCCGTCAAACTATTAGCTTATTTTCATGAACGCCATCATCATCATCATCATCATCACCATCATCATCATCATCATCATCATCATCATCATCATCATCAATTATCACCGCCCATTGCCGCGGCCACCACTGGCACCATAACCGTCCTCAGTATTACTAATGTCTCTCAGGCAAAGCAAGGCTTAGGTTTCGCACACAAGACTTCTATACATATATTTGGAGATTTTTCGTGTTATTCGGGAAGGGCCGCTCAGGTCACTTTCATATACCTCTACAAGGCAAACAAAAGTCGTCATTTGGAATTAACCCAATCGTATTATCGTTTTATTTCGAATGCAAGTTAAGATAAAATTCATTACAAAAATTCGGACTTCGTAAGCGGAATGATTGCGGCCTGTTTTTCAACCTTTAACAAACACGAGGTTCGTTTATGAGTTTATTTTCCAAACTGCAACAACATCCGACGTGTTAAGCAACACAGAGGCCATCTAATTAGTTGAAATTTGACCGATTTAACCGACTAGCAAGCGCTCGTTGAAACCAGTTTGGCATTCTGCGTCAAAACAGTAAGGCTATCATGATTGTTTGAGTAACTAATCCAGCCCCCTTCATTGGGTTTTAAGACAACATACTGTCAAATAGTATAGTAGCCCAACGGCTTTTACCCATGAACTAATCGCCTTTACCCATCTTAGCTTGAAAAAAGGGCCTTATATAATGCAGACAATAGAATTATGGGTGCAGAATGTTCGTAGATAAACTTTTTCACATAAAACGCCGGCGAATGTATTAACTCTCAAGTACAGACCATTTCATGGGACCTCGTCTCGATGCTAGCTGTGACCTCACTCTCGAACGAAAGAATCATCACCTCCAAAATCGCATCATGATTCAGAAGGCGTAAATTACTCGATGAGGAATAAAAACAAAGAATGTTGGTGATTTGAGTGGTGTGGATGGGGCGCTGTCTCGTTTGGTGTCGTTTCAGTTTAATCAGTAAATGGGGGAGACTTACGCAGCATCCGCCTCATTTTATGGCTCCAGGCGTCGAGACAGTGACAAAACAATCGAAGCTTGACTCGGGCGCAGTGACTGAGACAGCTTAACCGCTCGCTCGTGTGTGTCATATTCATGATTTGGTTCCGATCAAATGCACCCGGCTGGCTCAGAGGTCACACGGATGGAAATGTCATGAAGGTCCCATTGTTAGGGAGACACTGCAATGTGACTCTTAGTCTTGAGGAAACCCGCGTTACGATGATAGAGGCACAATCGGTGAAACAGGAGCTTTATTGGCCTGCTGTTTCGGATTCCCTATCAAATCCATCATCAAAGACAGAGGCAGATAAGGGTGGTAAATTGCCCAGATGTTGCAGTATTTATAGGATGTATTTGCTTGGCTGATAAATCTCTATCACAGTTGCCAGCTCCCGAATGCAGCACGGTCCGACTGGCCGGGTGTTGAAGCATGCAGTTGCCATGCCGTTGCTACGCCCATGTGAGGCGGTCAAGATTATCGGCCTCCACGCTCATCGCACTCAGTCGATAATCTCGACCAGTACATGAGCGTATAGCAACGGCATGACGACTGCATACTTTAACACCTGACCAGTCGAACCGTGATTCACTCGGGAAATGCCAACTGTGATAGGCATGTGGCAGCCTAGCAACCACATCCTATAAATATTGCAACAGCTGGACAATCCGCTACCCTTCGCTGGCTCTGTCTCTGATAATGAATTCAAGGGAGAATGCAAAACGCCAGGCTAATAAAGTTCTTGTTCCAGCGATCGTGTCCCTCTCTCCGCGACTATTACCTGAAACTTGCGTCTTCGCTTATATTAGCAAGGATCGGTTTGTTCTGTCTGGCGGCTTTTCGTGCTGCGACCGATGGCGCGTCGTAATGACTTCAAGTGGCTCACACTTACTGCTGTGAGGAAGGTGATGATGCGCCGTGGGAGGGGATCCTCAGAAGTCGGCCTTAATCTCTCTTCCCCCCCCCTCCCTTATCGTGCACTGACCGACTGTCCTAGCCTATCAACCAGCTGGACACACGTGGGATGTGTCCCGGCTCAACAACGACCGCGAAGATAAAATGTCTGGCTGTTGGACTGTATGGAATCACGTGTGACGTTCCGTCATGGGGTTGGATTCCTGCAGTGGATAACCGCTGAGACAAGTGGTTCGCGCGCGGAAATGTCCTGGACAGATGACATGCGCATATGCGCGAATCCTCCATTAATTAGCAGTATTTTTACGTATTTTAAACCGGGGATTTTATCCCCTGTGGACGAATAAGCGCTCGTTAGCGGTCAACATTGAAAAGAGGAAGGTATATTACTTCTTTCCACAAACTCGCATCCAAAGCCCCGACAAGTGCTGATAGACGAGGACAGGAGTGAAAACATGTGCATGACTAAAAGCGCGTTGGCCAACATGAGGATGACTTGTTTCTAATTCAAAGACGAGGACTAATCGGTCAGCGGTGCAGTTGTTGCGTTCGGCGGTGCGTCCGAAACCGTTCGGGGGTTCATTAACAGAGAACACATAAGGACGATAACAAACGCACAGCCTTTCTGATTTATCAGCTCGAAAATTGGGAAACTCAACCGAGCTGTTCAGAAGGTTGATTGTCCTCACCGAAAGCTCATCCTCTACACTATATGGACTCGACTTCGAAAGAACACAGATAGATGACGTAGGTTACCAACAAGACGGGGTGAAGGCTTCTGGCGGCCTGGGTATCTGACAGCAATTTTGCGGACTGGCGTATCGATCTCTCCCCACGCATCACTCACTGCGCGCGCACTGTCAAATGCCGCGAAACCCTTCTCGGCCAAGACGGCACACTGTCACGTGCGTCGGCGACATCAAAAAACACAAAAACGTTCGTTACTGTTACATGGCCGGTGGTGCCGTAGAGACGGCATAGAGACTATTTCTTCGCTAACCACCGACGTCACCATGTCTCCACAAGGGAAACCTTGAAGACATTACCAAAGTTTCTGGGTTCCAGGTGATGAGCCCTACAACATGACTTTTCAGAAAGATAATTGTCATCAGTACAATTTCAAGGTCAGATGTAGTTATGTAGTCGCACCTGAGGTAAACAAACCCCAACCCCCTGTAATACGGAATCGGGGGTAGTAGGGGTTTTTACAGGTGGGGTCGGGGAACGCACATGCAACGAGGTTAAGTAGTTGTATGCAAAAGAAAAGCTATTGGGAATGCGTGGTTGTACTTCGAGTGGTTGAAAAATAGGTGCCCTAAAATATAACGATAACCCCTAGCCCTGACTCCTAGCCTCAGCCCTAAACCCTAACCCTGAAACAACCAATGCGCAAATTAGAAGGAGACGACAGGCTAAAAGTCAAGAAGAACCACCTGCATTTGGCCCAAAAGTTAGACACGGCAACAAAGACACAATCCCCCCAACAGAGCACAAATCGCAACGCATAGCAACGCCATACCAACGTAATCACATCAACTCAAAATAATTAAGTAGGCCAACAGTACTGTGTCTATCAGGTGTGGCTACATAACCCCATCTTACAAATTTTAATAGCTCACTTCACATAAGGATCCGCAATGGTTATATGAATCAATGGAGAAGGACGCTAACAACATGACCGACTTCTCAGTCTTCGAAGTCAGGCATCATGGCACTGGCTGTTTACCAAACGTTGGCATCTGAAATGATTTATATACTTGTAAACGTGCAGTTGTCTTTATGAACCATCACCTTTAAGCGAAAATCCGTACACATATTTCGCCTCGGGAATACCATTATTACAATCTGAATTATACAGTTTTCGCTAAACCTGATTGGCCCTCGTGGTTGACGGGCGATTTTTAATAGAAACTTCATTCCCGCCAGGGCGCTATCTGCCGTCTTTAGGGAATGAAGCTTTAACCTCCTTGCTGGAGAGTTAAAGGTCTAATAAAAGAGTTGAAGTCGACGCCGTAGCTGCGTAATACCAACGTTGTTGGCGGAGGGGGGGGGACGCGCGATGCATGCTGCTGCTATCGTGCGCGCGAGAGAGAGAAAAATTAAAACTGCCCAGAAGTCCGCAAACCCCTGACGGCGGGAACGGAGTCCTGAGAAGGCTGGGATTTTGGGAAGTGGCTTTTCTGCCCTGCTGGCAGAATGGTAGTAATTTAACGCGTAGGCAGAAGAGAATCCGCATCCACCACGGCCACTTTAGACGCTAAATGATAGCTACGTCTAAATCGCGTCGGGTCGCACTGTGTTGCTGCTCTGTACTTTATCTTCTTGACCGAAAGTAGCCTTTGGCCTTTCTTTGTCTTGTCTTCCTTCCACAGGTTCTCAACAAAGACAGCGATACGACTGAAATCCAAGAGAAGATTCTCACTATTGAGGTCCTTCCCGGCTGGTTGGAGGGCACGAAAATAATCTTCGCCAATGAGGGCAACCAAGGACCTAACACGATTCCAGGTGCGAAGCAACAGGTTTGCCTGTGTTTTGGGAGAATGAGAATGTATTTGCAGTCTCGCCTCATGGTAAGTTTGTCTGCTAAATGAGAGGAGATGCAATGGCCGAGAAGCAGTGCTTACGCTTTTGGCCCGATGTAGTCGCAGCCCACATCCTCAGGGCTAACGGCAGGAAGTGGAGGTGTCGGATGCTGCCATTTAAACACTCCCCTCATTATTTATGAGTCTTCTCAAGGAGTGTGTATCTGCAAGCGGTTTATATCATCGCGGTGACTGATAGTGCTTTAACCCTCGATGGCAGGCTTCTAGCCATTACCTCCGTATGGAAAACCACTTAATATTTGTACATTACTGACTGCCTGTTGAAAGTTTGTGGAATTTCCTTGGCTATTCTGCAGCAACTGATCAATTTCAGCTCAAATCTTCATATATAACTTTTCTAACTCAGCCTAAAAACCTTTGTTCTAAAGGATCAAACTCATGCTTGCGCACTAAATTCCTCGGAAATTAAGGAAGTCAGTCAGATATCACTTTAGTATTTACTGTGTACTCTGTGTATGCGCTTGCTGTAAACAATCAACAAAGGACGTCAAAATTGACCAAAGTGGAAAATATATAAAAGAAAAGAGGGGTGCTTCCAGTGATTGCAGAAAGCAGAGGCTACTGCGTTCCACATTTCTAGCCAATGAGAAGTTGCGCTTTACTGAGATTAGCCTCAATCGCGGTGGTCGTAGATTACGTAGGGAAGTTACAGGTCATTTTATGGCACTCTGTTTTCGTTTCACAAAATAAAGTGCCCCAACTGGTAGAGGAGTGCTCACCGATCGCGCTACGGAATTCGCTCGTCCTGTTGCCTTTTGGGGCTATCTGTTGTGATCTATCAGCAGCCACACAGCGGTGCGTACTAAAGACTGAATAACATTACCGGCAAAGACAAAGCAGATCGAAATGGCCATTTCAGACTTATAAGCCGTCAGCAGCCAGTCATACCCAGCCCTGAGGTAAGGAACGTTGGCCTTCTAACCAACAGGTCGCGAATCGAGCCCCAGGGGTTTCACACCTCTGGGTTGTTTATGACTGACTGGCGACGGCTAATAAGCCAGAGGCGGTCGTTCGAGTCTCCCTTGTTCTTGCCGCTAACGTTATTCGGCCTAGTAAGCAGTCTAGAAATGGTGTATGAATGTAACACTATTCTAATGCTTAAATGGATATAAGTTCTGGTCTCATTTTCAGCTTCAAAGGTAGGGTTTTTAAGTATCAAAAGTGGAATGAACCGGCGGCAAATACTGTCATCTACAGTCACTGATGCCCCTACCTGAGGCCGTGAAGACCTCAGAATTGACCCCAGCCGGGAGTCTAGGGGTATGTTAGACGAGCTAAAGATTCAGACGTAGATGACTGTGGTTAGGACCGTCTAACATTCAGTATGAATGAGATTCACGAGGTTACCGCCTGCTTGTCGAACAGAGTACGATGCTTCCGCTCCCTATGCGATCGTCTTCATTGATAAGACAGTGGTGGTAGTCATTGATGCAGCCGGAAACTAGCCCAAGCGTATTGTTTGGCATTAACATAGCAATACTTGTTAATACTCACTCGCTAGAATGACATGAGTGGACACACCCACGACTAGGGGCAACTGAAACGAAGAAGATGCAACCGCCAGAACTACAATTTTATTCGCCCCTCTGTCTGAGATGTCAGACGAGCGAACTCCTTGTTCTGGTGGCCGCGTCTTCTTTCCAATTGTTTCTTGGAATTGACATTGTTTCCGCCACCTTCCTCTCAGCTGTATCCAGCCCTGTCGAAGCTCTGGTCGGGTTTCCCCCGCCGTATGTAGGCTGCCTCCAGGTAGCTCAGTAGCCGAGTTGTTCGTGCTCAAACCAATACTCGAAAAGAAGTTTTGAGGTCAACCAAATGACCATTATTAAGGAGGTGTTTTGTTACAGAAGACGGTGGAATCTTATTCTCCTGCTTTAGAAGCCATTTAGATAGGTGCTAAACTGCCCTGGCTGCCAGTTGCCTTCGCGTTCGCCCAGTGTATTTGCATCCACAAGTGCATGTAAATTCGTAAACACAATTTGACATGGCGTGCAATGGCAGGACATCCCTTGCCCCTGGAACTTAGATAGCCTTACTAGGGCTGCAAAATATGAGTTCGGCTGAGTTGTAAGTTCTTTCAATGGCGCATCTCAATCGCCGCTTGATGGTTTTTAAGATGTCGCACTCATAGAGTAAGGATATTACAGCGGGCTTTTTCGGAACTGGTTGTTTCGTCAATTTTGGCCGTAAACTGTTGCCATACTTTTCAATGAGTCGTGTTAGATATCCCCATTTAAGCAGGGCTGTTTTAAGACAAGAAATCTCATCATCCAACGTTTCATTGGAGCAAATGTTTCTTGCTCATTGGAATAGAGTATAAACCAATGTTCCTTTTCGTTGTATCGGCACAAAGCGCCAGAAGTGCAGGTATTGACCTTGTGGAAAACAGTTCGCCTTATTGAACCATCTTCCTGTCTAGTCATGAGGACATCCAGGAAAGAGAGCTTGTCGCACTGCTCTTTTTTCATTGTGAATTTTATCTTAGGATGGATCATGGCAACAAGTAGTTTTTCGGCTTCATCGTGGCTATCAACAATAACATATAATCCACTATTACATGAATAATCAAAGAAGTTAATCATATGCGGGCAGACTGCGCTGATACCTTTATTGCGCTAGCGTAGGACCAGATTGGTAGGCGGTCTCAGTTTGCCTTTTTTCGACAGGACCTGCTGCGGATCTCTCCAGCTTCTTTCGCCTACCGCGGTCCGCGCAATTTGATAATACACAAAGATATGAATCGGAATCATTACATATTACGCAAAATGCCTTTAAATACTAATTTGCGGCAAAAAGTGCCTTCGTAGTTTTAAAATTGCGCCCTAAAGAAGCGTTAGATTTGCAGCTTTTGACGGATTTCATATTCAAAGCATGAGAAAGTGAGTTTAAGAGAGGTGCAAGCGTAGCACGCGGGTAAAATATGTCTGCGGAAGATCACTTGTTAGTTCGGCAGTCGCCAACGACTGCGTTTACCGCGTGCCCTACAGGATGGTTTTTCCAGCGCCATTCTTTTTCACATTAATGGGCATATCGTGGAATCGCATGATATACACAGAATACCGTTACTGACAAGGACAAGGGAGACTGGAATAGCCATTTCTCGCTTATTAGCCGCCATCAGTCAGTCATACCCAGCCCTGAAGCGTGGAGCACCTGAGCCTCGATCCCGCGACCTGTTAGTTAAAAGTCCAACGCCTCAGAACACTGAGCCACGGGCTCGTTGTCCTGTCGGTTGCTATCTGGAATATACCATGCATTTGTCGGTAATACCATTCTGCCTACATTAGGCGCCGCTGTGCGGCTGCTGGCTAGGCTCGAGAGAGAGAGAGAGAGCCCCAAGGCAGAGGGGGACGAGTAAGTTCCGTAGCGCGTTCGATTAGCGCCCCCTCTGCCACCCTGCACCCCGCGCATATGCTTGATCCTTGCCGATCATCGTTAGCAGCATAGGGACGTTCTAACTTCCTCCCACTGAGCCTGTTCTCTCGAAAGTCTTTTATGAAATTCCTCACTGCAGTCACTGCTTAAAACGGTTCAAATATAAGTCAATTACCAGGGTCGAAAAGAGTGCATGTCCATGTTACCACACCCACCCTACTTATCATGCTTTTCGACAGATACTGATGCAAACCATCTGCTCGTTTACGTTCTTTCTTGCAATTTATCCCCCTCCCCCATTAGACGGGAGCATGCCGTCATGAGACCTTCCGGTTCTTTGCACCTCCCTCCTTTTTAAAATAAAGTGGGCTCGTCAATGTGACAGCAGTGCGAAAAGTATCCCGCTGTTTGGGTTTTTGTCCTTCATAAGTTGCCTTCCTGTGAATGCAGCGAAATGTCTATCCCCCCTCCACTCCTCGTGTTTTGCAATTTTGCGGGTCGGACGTGGGAGGGGGTGCGCAGCCTTGTTTTATAATTACACTCCCAACCCTAGTGTCGGGTATTAGCTATCAGGCCAAATTATCTTCTCCCTGGACTGCACGTACATTTAAGCGGTCTTCAGACAGCCTGGGCGTGACCGAATTTTAACATTTACAGTCTTTCGCGGTGCATTTTTGCACTTGATTTTGCAATTTTTTGACCAAATTCAATCTTCCGCTTATGCTTCGTAGTAGCTGTGATGAGACATAAATCACACCTTTCAAGATTAATTAGACTTTTGCGTGTGACTGCTGGTTAATTAGGCCACATATGAACAAAAATGTGGTGACATAAACAAGCGAGGACACATATTGGTAATTCGTACCAGATCAGCAACATCTCTGCTACGATTAGGTTAGAAGAGTAAAAAATTCACCTGTGCTTAAAATGCTATGGATTCAAATGCTGAATTCGTATGCACCAACAGCAATTTCAATATTTTATGCGCACGGGCATTAAATAAGCTGAAACGCCAATTATGGGTTGTGTTAGAGATGATTATCAGGTATCGCTGGGTGTGTCTCCTTTGGGGATTGCAATTAAGCAGAATCCGGTAGGGGTCTATTTCATGCAAGTCTTCATCCAAATCCTACAATAAATTGCGTCAAATCTTGTTAAATAATTACTTTTCTCCAGGCGTGTTCTCAGTGTTCCATGTCTGTTGGTGTTTCTAGTTGGTTTTTTACAATTCATATGTTCTCAAGTTGCGAAAAGTCGCATGGGGCAATTCAGAAGAGTATTTGGTGGACATACGCTTGCGTTCGACAAACTCTCGTTGGGCCAGTACATTTATATAAGAATGAGGTACACAACGATCAGGCCGTTTCACGGAACTTCCCAGCAGCAGGAGTTAAGTCTTGTTCTCGACCAACGCCGTATTACTCGGGGAAGGTAAGGATAAGCTACCATATCAAAAGAAGAGGAGGCGTTCACCGGGAGAGGTGTATTTGAGGTCTGACGTTTCGGGTAGTCGTTTCTTCTACCCATCTTCAGAGACTGAGCAGTCGTGCAACAGCTTGCCTTTTATGGCACACTATGTTTAATGCCTGGCCCACCGATGCCGCCTGTGTGGCTGCATCCGACCCGCATGTCACCGTGACCTGAATCCCGCCCATCTTCGTCGGCCGCGGTGATAATTGGCGGCCCCGATTGCCCCGCGCCGTGACTGTCCCCCGTCAAGAACGTTCGTAAAACCAGATAAAGGGGAGGTAAATTGCTGTGGCGGTTGACAGAACAGCCGGTAGACATCCAGGCTTCTTGCACCTGCCTTGCCGTATGATCATCACCTCGGCCCATAATTTCAACGGCGTCAAAGTTGAAGACGTGTCCCATTTGGGCGGCATGGGTTGCTACCTCCGACTTTGGGTCCAACCCTCGCACGGCCAACCTATGCTCGTGCATGCGCGTTTGCAGCCGTCGGCCGGTATCGCCAACGTAGTTACACATTCTGCAGCTGCACTGAAGTCGGTAGACAACAGCCGACATCTCCTGTTTAAGGATGGGGTATTTTGGCCGCATCACTTGCCGGCGGATTGTTGAGTCGGGCCTGTGGGCAACGCCTATTCCGAGCGGCGCGAGGGATCTGGCTACGGCTTCGGAGACCCCTTTCATGTATGGAACACTCCGCCACGATTTTCGCATTTTCACTACTATTGATGTAAGCTACCATCTCAGACCATCTCCATGTGCATTCAGTCATTTACATGCTCCTGTGGAACAGGCTATATTTGTGCAGGCACGACCGCGCCACCTACCAGCGCCCTTCCCGCCTCCGCTCTTCTCGACTCTGATTTAACACTGGGTCTAGGTGGGGAATGGGGAAGAGAGGGTGCGGTAGATGCTGTGAAAGTCCACTCTCACCATAAACTAATTCATGGACAAGTCATCGTGTTTGCTTCACCTTGCTGGGGAGCATATGGTCGAATTATCAAACTGATTTAGTACTGATAGAAGCGAACAGGCGAGTTCCCGGTAGCAGTTCAGAAGATGAAGATGCGATCACTCGACGGGACCCGGCCATATTTTCAAATTTCAAGAGTCCGAACTCCTCGCAAGGGGTGACAACCGCGTGAGCCGCGAGCTGCTCGAGTCATGGTTCCCAGGCCCGCAATCCATCAACAAGCACAATGACCTCCCGGTACCCTATACCGTACTGCGATTTTCCCTGGGCAGGAAAATCAGTCACGTGGGGAGGGCGCGGGCGAGCAATCATCAGGGTGACAGTGAGCCAGTTTGCCGAGCAATCGTCACACCAGCATCCAGCACGGATGACGAAATCGCGGCAATTAACAACTCGGACTCCGACCGAAAAGCCGCCACCGCATCAATTACGACCCCAGCGGTGACTGTGAGAACTGCTCATTGCAGTGCGCATGCGGTCCCACGGCAGCCACGTGCTATAAATACTGCACTCCTGGTGCCACCATCACCTTTATCTGCGAATGTCTCTGATGATGGATTCGAGTGAGGATCCGAAACGTCAGGCAAATAAATTTCTTGTTCCAGTGATCGCATCTTCATCTTCTGATTCGGTACTCACCACTACCATGATGAACTTGTTATTGTAGGTGTCTATCCCTTCTTGTTGTTGTGGTGTTGTGTAAGCGCGTGCTGTGACTACATCCCACCAACAGTAGGTAGACAGGATGCAGTATTCGGACGATGCTCCTCTTTCTTCCGTTTGGTCTGTTTGCACAATGGTTGTTTAGCGGACTTTTGAAATATCGGACATTGCGTTCTTCTGACCGAGGTTCAAGATAATTTGCAGAACGTCGGTTTCGCAATGCCCTTCGTGTTTTCAAAAGTTGGTTGAAAGCAGGGGCGGCGACTTATGGGCGAATTATTTCATAGTGATAATAGGCTGGCACGGCTTCTAGCACACTCCATCCTCCTCTCTCACCTGGGCCCGGGGTCAAGACATAGGCGAAGAGACCTTAGATGGGAGAGACCGTACAGTATATGTGCATACTCATGAAATGTCAACCAAAATTTCGAAATGCGTTCTCATTTCGAAAAGATAAATTAAGTAGTGTTGTAAAACTAATCATGATGCAGCATAAATCTACAGTGATCCAGTTACCTCAGGGTGTCGTCTTTCGAAAGAACTTATTTTCCTCTGCATGCAAGATCTATACTCTGCAAAAAATGACTACTTATGTAGCAGGCAATTTTCTCATTGATTTTCGATGCCCTTGAAAATTCAACTATATTTCATGGAAACCATGCATAAAAATATTCATTCTTTTACTTATTCGGTAGAAAATCACTTCCTCTTCCGATTTCATACTCAAAAGAAGAGTATTATTCGATTTTAAAAAGTTTCTAATTGTGAGATTTTTTAATACCGTTAAATGGTCGTTCATGAAAAGTTATGTATCTGCATTTACGAGTGTGGCTTGTAAAGTTAACAATTATACTCAAATCCACTGCTTAATTTTATGAACCTCATATGGTCTCCTCTTAACACCGTAGAGAAGTGCATGGTTTTCTGTACACGGAAAATATACAGCTTGTAGTTTTGAAACCCTGAATGCAAGTGTAACAGCAGGTTGGGTTCAAAATTATTCGAGAATTAGAAAAGTTTTTTTAAACCGAATTATACTCTTCTTTTGAGTATGAAATTGGAAGAAGACGTGATTTTCTACCGAATAAGTAAAAGAATGAATATTTTTATGCATGTTTTCCATGAAATATAGTTGAATTTGCAAGGGCATCGAAATTCAATGAGAAAATTGCATACTATGTAAGTAGTCATTTTTTGCAGAGTGTAGATCTTGCATGCAGCCGAAAATAAGTTCTTTCGAAAGCCGACACCCTGAGGTAACTGGATCATTATAGATTTATACTGCATCATGATTAGTTTTACAACACTACTTAATTTGTCTTTTCGAAGCGAGGACGCATTTCGAAATTTTGGTTGACATTTCATGAGTTAGCACATCTACTGTAGGTGGCTGGCGCGATGCAAACCCGAAACCTAGGCGTGTTACCACATCCCCTGGTCCACAACGTATACCGGCAAACATCTCACACAACATGCGAAGGGTGGGGCAGCTCGGATCCCACTAGATTACAGTGCCATAGAGGTCACATTAAAAAGGAACCATTGCGGCCGGTCGAATCTTATTTCGTATCTGCAATTGCAGTAGGCAGGCCTCAGCCACCTGTCATATGAGACCGTTGTTAATAGGAGGTTTTACACCAGCCGATGACCCTAACTCCCAACCCCCAACTTCAAACCCCTAACCCTTACCCAACCCCTAGCCTTAACCCATAACACTAACCCCTGATCCCCTAGCCTCTTATCCCGAATCTCAACCGTTAATCCCCAACCCTAATACATAGGAGGTGCGGCTTCGAAGGAAGATCATACCTTGAGGGCCTGACTCTGTGTCAACCAGCCGGCCACTCCACGGAAACAAACACCGGGCCTACTGCGAGGTCCATGTCATGACGTCAGATAGCAACCTGCCAACTCACAGCTCTAGCGCATCGTGATAGCTTTAAGTGTGTCAGATAGCCTGTACTGAGGAGAATGAGCTGAGTCGTCAACGTCACTCCCTATTCCCACTCCCGGGAAACATAAACTGTCTGAGCTGGTCAGTTGTTCGGTGCCGGGAGTGGGCGCAGTGGCGGACACATCTATGCATGCCACACACGCGAACTGCCCCCGAACCCAAGTACCAGAATTTCATACAAAAGTGAGAATACTTTGTATATCATATTGATAAATACCACGCTACATCTTGTCCACTAACGGTGTCTATGTCCCTTCACAATTGAAGACCTTGTATTTGGCACTTTTCACGACAAAGACCAGACTGCTGCCGTATAACAAGAGCCTTAGATTAGTAAGCCAATGGATATTGGACCTCGCATAACAGCGTTTCTCTCTCTTTTCCCCCCTTTTGACAGGCGACGTGATTTTTATTGTGAAGGCAAAGCCTCATGATACGTTTGTTCGTGACGGCCACAATCTCATCCACACCGCCGCGATCCCCGTAGCCCAGGCCCTACTGGGCGTGACACTGGTCATTAAAACCCTCGATGACAGAATTCTTCGCATTGCAATCACTCAGATCGTCAAGTAAGTAAACCAGTTGTTTATTATTGTTTAAGACAAATCTCGATCTCTGTCCGTCAACAAAGATGAAGGCTGACTCAGTATGTTCCTATGAAAGTTGTTCTGTTGGGTTCCACGGGGACTTGACTGCACTTTAATTGGTCTATTTCGGGCACTTGTAGATATCCTGTCATTTACCGCTTCAAGCCAATCAGATAATCCTGTTGAGATGTCCATTACTGTGTCGAATCAAGCGGCCGTGTCTAATAACCGCGCAAAAACGCAATCCACACAGACTAGCCGATTACAGTAGATGGGCTGACTCATGAAATGTCAACCAAAATTCCGAAATGCGTTTGTGTTTCGAAAAGATTGATTAAGTAGGGTTGTAAAACTAGTCAACCTGCAACATAACTCTATAGTATTTTAGTTACCTCAGAATGCGGGCTTTTGAATGGACTCCCTCCGGCCGCATGTAAAAACTACACTCTGTAAAAAGTGACTACCTAAGTAGCATTTATTTTTATCATGGGCCACTATCATAATTAATATTCCCGATCACAACCGACAGGACAACGGGCCCGTGGCTCAATGGTAGAGCGTTCAACTCCATAACCAAAGATCCCGGGTTCGAATCTCAAGTGATTCACACTTGGGGTTGGGTATGACTGGCTGATGACGGCCTAATAAGCCAGAAATGGCCATTCCGGTCTCCCTTGTCTTTGTCGGTATCATCTTCTCCACATATATCACAAGTCGCTGTGCGACTGCCTGCGAGAGTTTAAATATGAGCCCAAGGCACAACGAAACGAGCATGTTCCGTAACCTGATCGGTAAGCGCCCACAAATTTGAAAACGGGAATCCTAAGAAGCATGATTCGAAAATGGTGGGCCGATGAGCCGAGCCCCTCGCAGTTGTGCCGCGCAGCGGCAGAATATCGGCGAAACACGTGTCTGGGCTTTTAGTTAGTACCAATGCTGGAGAGATTCACAAATTTTTACACGTTTCCCAGCGTATTGATGGTTGTAGACCCCAGGAGATAAGAAAAGTAAAAACAAATGTTCAGACTAGTGGGAAAGAATGGCTCATACTACAGCAAAGGATTACCTACAAGTCTCCGTTCGCAGTGCCGTGTTAAAAATTGGCTGTTTCACATGTTGCCTGGTCAAATGTCACCAAAACAACAACAATCTGCACAGTCTGTTGTGAAATGAACTAGCACGAAAGGTATGCAAATGTTACTTCACGAGGCTTCGCTCAACAGAATTAATGTCAACACTGTTACCAGAATCGAGGTTCTCTGGTAAGTCAGACAGATGCAAGTGGCCTTATTGGATACCAAATTTCGACACTTTACAAGGCGCAAACAGTGCGGACGTTTCTCTCACTCTCTATGCCAAGGACGGTATGCAATGCCCTGGTAAGGTTAAAGGTCGACAGGAAACTTTTCATAGCTCCTGCAAACAGATGCCGTGCTATGATCGTAGTGAACAGCGTTGGTGACCTTCAGAAGGCCGAACGCTCCCTAAACGACCGTCAACCCTAAATCCTTTATAAGTTCACATAGTAGAAACAATAACATGCCAGGTAAGCGTAAAACAGTTAGAAGGGTAGGACTCAGGTACGAGACCGGTGTTGGACTGAGGAAGGTGAAGGACTCCAAAAGTGACCCTCTCGGTCCTGCGATCATCTGAACATGTGCAACGAAGGCAGTCGCCCTGTCCAGATGAACTGAAGGTTCCTCTCAAACCTACTCCACCGTTGACGAAATCGCTCGCAAGCGGATGTACACAACCACAAAAGAATTTACCGATTCCTAAAATCACAAGTGAGACGCTATTGTAAAGTCAGGGCTTGCTGGTAACTTTCATTGCGGACCAGAAGTGCAGATGAAATTTTCATCGCCATTTAATAAACTTTCGAGCACCTTATCCTAATCACAATCAAAAAACACTTGTTCATGAACGCACTACCAGCGAGCCCCATTCCCATGAATTCAGATAATTAGCAAGACAATTATCTGAATGACTGCACGCAAAGCTACTGGATACCAACTTCGCGCGATCGCTCCAACGTCTGATACTACAGAACTGGGTTACACTAGGTCGCAGGACACTGTATGGTGTCGGGTACTGAGATTGGGTAAATCAAAACCTAAACTTTCCCCCCCAAACCTCCTCCATCGTTGACGAAACCACTAACGAGCGAATGTACATAACCAAAATGGGTTTGGCGACTCTTGAATCGTAACTGAGGCGTAACTGTCAAGTTAGAGCTCGCTCATGACCATTGTGGATTCAGAGCGCAAACGAGATTTTTATCGCCATTGAATGAACTCTCGAGGGCCTTAACCCAATCAAAAGTTTTTAACGCTCTAGGACGAAAACGGGCGGCTGGGGTTTGTTGGTGAAATTGTACGGTGTAAAGTCTGCGACACGCAGACACTTAGATTCAACGCCGGCCGCCAAAGTATTCGAAACGCGCTTACGCATGAACGCACAACCAGCGCGCCCCATTCCCATGAATAGAAGTGATTAGAGAAGCGGTTTTCTGAATGAATGCACGCAAAAGGAAGTGGAGACCAAATTCTCGCGATCGCTCCAGCGTCTGATACTACATAACTGGGTTACACCAAGTCAGCGGACGCTTTTGGAGGACGGGTACTAATGTTGGATAAACCATTGGTGCAATGAGACAGATTGGTTGTGGTCCGTTTGATCTACTGCAGTTGAGAACAAGGTAAAATTATGGGCGATGATGACAGTTTACGCACTATGCGAGTTGCCGAACACGAATCTGCAACGGGCAGCAGTATCAACGCCAACGAGTTGGTTATGGCTTCGTCAATATGATTATACCACCTATATAATTTTGACAAGACGGAAAGTCACTGAAATTGCATGAGTCATGTTTCACGGGACCCCGATCACTCAACAGTCCAAACTGCCTCTACTTAAGGTAGACTTCAGTATATTTAAGGATAATGGGCATTACGCACGGCTAGAAAGTTCATACACTTGGTGAGACAGAAAACACTTTGGCCAGTGTGATGCTATCGAAGAGCCATTTGCAACATCGCAGATGACAGGTCTTACAGAACCAGGCAGCCAATTGAAGTACGGCTCTGCGAAAGACCATACACATGCGCCTCTTCAAGTCTATTCACAGCTGAAGAGCGAGAGTCAAACTCAGGGGATCCTTCTTAATGCGGCCTCTATGACACTCCTGCTTGAATAGGACCAGAACCGCTTTCTGTGTCTGTGAAAACCTCCGGTCCAGACAGTTAGGCTTTTCTGACTCTGTCTTGCTACCGTGACCAGGTGGATGAGGGATAAGGCAGTGCGATTATGGAAAAAAACATCACAGAGAGCACCAAATGGGAACAGGGTTTTCGGTTTTTTAATTTCCTCAGAAATTAACTACTAACTCGGGGTAGATCAGGTTATAAGCGAGGAAGAAGAGTCGAGCACCGGAACATTGTGTTTATTGTCCTGAGCTTTCAGACTCGTACAGGAGTCCATTGTCAGAGGTAACAGCAGCAGCAGCAGCGGCAGCAGCAGCAGCAGCAACAGCAGCAGCAGCAGAACAAACGACAGTTATAAGGCATGCAGACCAATCATCGACCGACGGCGCAAGACTGGAGGTGACTACGCAGGGCTCTGTACGCCAGCGTCAGATCGATAAATCGATTGACCGAGTTCTCATCCGAGGCCCAGGCTTCGATCAATTCTCGGCCTGTTTTGTTTCCGTCGTGGGCGACTATTTTGGGGGCTGCGAAGTTAAAATCGTGACCCATTTTGTGGGCGTGAGCAGCCACTTGCGATAATGCGTCGCCTCGTCGCACAGACAGCTTATGTTCGTGTATTCGCAATCCGAGCATGCGTCCAGTCTGTCCTGTTTAGTGACAAGGACAATTTTGACACGGAATGCGGTACACTACCCCAGACTGCTCATCAGACTTTAACCGGTCTTTGATTTTCATGACCCTATTGCGCATGGTGGCTTTGGGGCGGTGTGCAATTCCAACACCTAGCTCTGCAGCAATGCGCTCGATCGCTTCCCAAAAGCCCTTGATGTATGGCAGAGAATGCCATATAGTCGGTGGCGTTGATGTTCGAGTTCTCTGGTGAGGACCGCGTAGGCAGCGACTTATGAATGCCCTCGGATAGCCATTTTGCACAAAGTGGTCGCGGTCATACTAGGGTCTCTGGGCTCAGACCGAAATTTGATCATGAATATTTAGGCCGAAGTCCATCATCCACAGCGGGATGACGGCGTCAGCTAGTGGTATATTTTAGTGCTAGAAGATGCAATAATAGCAGCACAGCAGCTACTACATATACCTCTAGCATGGTATCTTCTAACGCTAAAAAGGAAACAGGCATGTTTTATAACTGCTCCTGAATCATAAATAGCACTCGGCAGCTAAGTCGGAACTCTAGACTTTAGGGGATACGTTATTCTGGACTGGAACAGTTCAAAACCCCGCTGATCCACACCTAAGACGCGGTCAGCAGATAGCCATTTATTCAGTCACGTATTCCTGTCCCACAGTTTAACAGCTCTTGTACCGGTAGCGTGGTCGCCACCAGAGTATGATGGCCGCGGAGTTAAATATGAAGGCACAAAGTGATGGATTGCATATTATGCTGACGCATCCTTAGACCGACAGTTTCCTTTCCGACCAGAGTGGCGCAGGCTGACAACAGCTTGAAGTTCTCGGACAAGGAAGGGCCAAGAACTGCCTGGTAATCCGGTCTCAATCAAGCACTACTGGAGGGGGGGGGAAATTAAGGTTTTGCTCCTGGTTTACGGATCGATGATAATCTCTCGTCATGTTAGTTGTCATGTATTCCAGTCGATGCGAAACTATCTGCTGCGGGTATTAGCGGCGTCAGTATGTAGTCAGTCGCTGAATCCGTAATCGATAATAAAACGTAATGACCATCTTTCCCCTATGCAGCGTTAAGGTGCTGGCGGATACATTATTCATAAGAGGAATCACTACTGCTTCACAGACACAAAAAGAGTTAAATTACCGGGGGGGGAAATTATCTCGGCAGCTCTCAAGACCGCCGAGAGTGAGGCATTGCAAATAACGTTTCAATAGAGTTGACAAAACAAGCAACCCGGCAACTTCAAACATCCGATGAAGGCCCAGCAATTTCCGGTTTTTTACAGCGTGCAACTTAGTGAGCTTCAAGCTGGATTGCACACACATCCTTAATATACCTTTGCCTCTTTTGTCCCTCTCTCTTGCTCGCCTTTCTTACCCTTATGCTGGACTTGACGACGAATTAAGGGTGTAAGGTTAGCAGAACCTCCGTTTCAGCGATCAGGTACACATATTCATAGCTCCCTTACTTGCTAGGTTGGAAGATGTTCTCACTACGCCATCAAATATTCATGCTCACTTTTGGGCAAATATGTCTTCGTCCCAATGTACATATGCGGTAAAATGTACGCACTGGACCAATATTGAATTACCTACCCCTCCTTTTCCTCCCTCGTCCTCCCTCCGCCCTTCCTCCTCCCCATTTTCTTCTCACGCCTTCAACCGCTCCTCCTCATCCCCCTCAATCATCCTTTTTCTCCCTCCTCCTCTTAATTTCTCCCGTCCCCTCCTTATCACTCCTCCTCCTTTAGGCTGCCTCATCATGCCTCTCTTCCTCCACCCTTTCTCCCCTCTCCCTTCCCCTTCGCTCATCCTCCCCCTTGTCTCCCTCCTCTTCCTTCTCCTTCCTCCTCCTCTTCTTCTTCTTATCCTTCCTTCTCCTATCCAGCGTGAAGTGGCGAGGACTAGTCGCTGACCACCTAGCTGTTTGCTTTTATAGGCGACTCCTGGCTGACTGCCTTTACGAAGCAGCGCCGGATCGAGCATGGGCAGGAAAAAGTTCTTAACTGCCGAGTCTCATGATCTCAAACGTGACTTAACCACCCAACGCACATAGAATAATTCATACGTGCAGGGTGTGTACGGTCTTATGAAACAGCCAGCGCCATTGCCTGGTTTTTATCACAAAAATAACGAATGTTAACGCCTCTGATGAGGTCAGCGTGGGACGGCAGGTGATGGTGTCGCCACATTTTAAAATATTGACGTCGGAACGAACGAGTAATCTGGCAACAAGCTTGAAACAACACATTGTAATTGTTTACGGTGTATAGCAGCAGGGGGGTAGCGATGGGGTGTTCGATTCGTGTGTCCGTAAATGCTCGTGATTCATGCATCAGACATCTGGACTGCTAAGTGCCCTCCGTCGGGGTTGAAAAAGTCTATAATACCAACTGTAAATTTTACTTTGGCCGGGGGGCATGCCGTTGTTTCAACTCTGCGTTCGCCTTCACCAGCAATGCTTCAATTGGTAGTGGAGATGCTGAAGAAACCGGTTTTTGTTGGTCATTTAACTCAATATCGCAGATGACGGTACAAATTAGGTTCGTGGTGAATCGATATTGGAGGCATTAGCTGGTCACAAATAAATACGGCAGAGTTTCAAAGCAAGAATACTTCATGCCCAATGAATACTGGGTTTGGTTTTCTTGGAGTGGATGGTTGCAGGCAGCGGCACACTTCTCTGCGAAAAACGTCTACTGTGACTTTTGGTGAACAAATCTCCACTTTTCAGTACGGTCGAGCCCATAATGAATGAGCTGGACGCTATTTCACAACTCAGAACGACATAAAATGAAGAACGTTTTTTAAAGTTTACGCCATGGATGCGGAATGGTTAATTCAAATGACATCCCGGCTAGTAGATGCGTCATACAGTGATATAAGGCCGACAAAACGCGAATCGGATCTCCGGCTAGTACTTGTACTATCGGTATTGTGAATCATGCAGTAGTAGTGTACTACTGACTGCTTGCCCGTAGATTATGAGCGTTGATCAGTTATTCAGTCAACATAAATGAACTTCGGCTCAACTGTTCACACCAATCGCCGGGCCGAACTTGAACATGTTTATCCTGAAGGATTTGCTTCGAATCTCGGCGTTTTTTTATATTCCTGAAGCGGACCTCTCCTCGAAACTAAACAGAAGGCACTGTGAAAGTCAACAGGCACCACAGCTGAGCGTGGTATCGTATAGCCCATTTAATCGGAAGCAATCTTTGCTGAACATGGAAAAAATGACTCCCCCCTTACTAGGGTGGCCTTGGCTAACTTCCGCCGATAGCTATTCTTCTGTCCTGACTCTTAGCCTTACGCTAACTAACACTAATCTTAAAACTAACCCTTCCAACTCTAACTCCCCAGGGATTTTGCGCAAGGATACCTGCAGTACGGGAGTCCATATTTCCGTTACCTACCACAACCTAAAATGATTATAGATAGAGTTATAGGGCGAAGTCGAGACAAGAAACCCCTTCACGGGAGGCATTTGAATTAAAATCTTCTCTGAAATATACAGACGAGTGCCAACTTCGTGAATGTCTTCTCCATTGATTCCCTCAATTTCTACACAAAGAGTACCGGAATAGGAGTGTCTTTCGTTATACTAAGTCTAAATTTAGTTTTGCAATTCAAAACATGTCTTTCGAAAAAACAGAAGACCTTTGGGCAACGATCGCATGAAGGACCCCAAACACGGCCAAGGGTGCCTGTCTTACGGAAAAGATGATAATGGGGGTTTTACGAGCGTGGCGTATGCATGCAGAGAGATGACAAAATAAGTATATATATTTAGTAAATTCGTTTTACCGGGCAGACAAGTTTTAATCTATTGACATATAGCAACTGAAATTAAGCAGGATAATTAAAAAAATAAATATTACGTGTCTACAACGATCGCTTTTAAACTCTATGAGCTCAGTTCACTGTAAATAATGCAGCACACCGTCTACGACAGGCGACTCAAACTTGTACAATGAAACACCAATCCGAAATAATCGTGTCGGAATTAAACCCACTTTAATAAGCATAGTAGGTACTCTTTGTATGCCACAGATGCTTTGGGTCCTTCACTCGCTTCATGACTAATTTCTACAAATCCCACATCCACTTTAAACATAAGAATTTGACAAAGACGTCTGTATCAGTCAAGAAGCAGCATCTGCATTTCCTAGATTTTGACAACGATGATTTTCATTTTTAAAGGTAGTATTGTTTGCCAGTATTATCGCATGTGATGATTTCTCTAACAGGGAAGGTTACGTCAAGATCGTCGAGGGCGAAGGCATGCCAATATCAGAAACGCCAGAGAAGAGGGGAGACCTACATATCAAATTCAAGTACATCTTCCCCGATCGGCTCACGCAAGAACAGAAGTTGGGTGTCGAGGCGGCCCTCTACCGGAACGGAGAAATTCTCTCCTTTACCTAGCCACCTGGCTGCAATTCTGTAAGCGTATATCAACGTAACGGTCGATTTCAAGCATATTGTGGCTGACGAATTAGAGAAGGACATTTGTACTGAGACAACGAATACTTTGGAATTTATGACCGGCGGTTGTGCCAGAAGTTATAGCAGATGGCCACATGCTAGTGTTGCATGCCTGGTAGTTCGAAGAGAGCAACTCGCCGAATTTGTCGCGTGAGCTTGCGTGAAAACAGTTATCTTGAAATGAGTCTCACGGAGGATGTAGCAGATTTCTTGAAACAGTGGTAGGGGAGATGTGCCAACACAAGAAATGTTAACCGAGATTCTGAAATGTCTTGTCGACTCAAGAAAGATTACTTAATTAGGACTGTAATATTATTCACCACGCAGCCTAGTCCCAAGATAATTCAGTTACTTCAGTACGAAGGCTGTCGATAAAAACTAGACTAAACTAACTAACTAATTAACTAAACTAAACTCTGTAAAAAATGATTACTTAACGTGGTTGAATTTTTCTCACTGGTTGTCGATGTCCTTAAACATTCAAATATATCTCGTAAAAGGCAAGTATAAAAATATTCCTCCTTTTATTCACTTGGTAGAAAATAAAAGTACCGTGAAATGCTCGTTTATAAATCCCCTGTCTCTGCGTTCAATGATATTGCCTGTGAAGTCCTCAATATGGCTCAAATTCACTGTTAACTTTTAATGAACACGCATGATTTCCACTTAGAACTTTAGAGTAATGTAAGGCTTTCCGTACACGGGAGATATACAGTTTGTGGTTTGGAGATCTGAATACAAGTATAAAGGCAGTCGGATTTAAAATTACTCGAGAATTGAAAAACGTTTTTTAAAACCGAATCGCATCCCTTCCTTCAAGTATACAATTTAAAAAGACGTAACTTTCTACAAAATGGGTAGGAAAATGAACACTTTCGAATTCAAATTTATAAGAAAATCGAACATCAACGAGAAAAAGTCATTTTGTTTAAGTGGGCACTGAAAAGAACTTTTCTCAGGAGGTTGCATCTCGAAGTAACTGAATTATCATGGTATTAGGCTGCGCAGTAATTAATATCTTAATCGTACTGAAGTACTCTTTTTGAGTCGGCAAAAATTTCAGAATTTCGGTTAACGTTTCATGTGCTAGTGCATCTACTCTGTTAACATTATGATTTCTGAAGTTCAGAAACTTAACGAAAACTTATTCCTCAGTTTTTTACTTCTAACGATTTCTATTGTAATAGAAATCAGTGAGAGTTATCGATGAAAAGGTTGTCCCTCGAGGATAAGCTTAGAAAATCTGAAAACTCGTGTGATTCGGTTTCCAGGGTGTAATCTACGATCCTCGGATACAGGCTTTAATATAAAAAAGAAACAGATCCGTTCAAAATGAGCGAGATTTACTGATTCTCGACCATATGCTGGCATATTTGTTTTTATTCCCAATAATTTATGATTTTCGAACGTAGATAAAAACAAACGAAATGCTTGATCGCGTTCGCAGATAAACGAGCTAGCCATGAGGGCTTGCTTATTAATACCTTATATTTCAGTTCACTTCGACCTTAACCATTTGTTTTTGAGGGGCCCCTAACAATTGAGATTATGAGTGCCCCTCTAAATGCCGGCTTTCGTATATTACTGATAATTAAAGTCACTTTTCATAACTCTAAAAAGTCCGACCACTTCCGTCGCTCGTTAATCTTTTTAAAAGGAAACTATTACCCAACTTTTCAGACATCAGTAGTTCATCTTAAGAATGCTTTAAAATCAGTCATGCAAATGAACTGCGGTGTAGCATAGTGCGTCAACTGGACTGTTACCTAGGTTTTGCGTGCTAAAATAGTTAATGCCCATTGCATTTGCTGCCAGCTGTGATGAATGAGCAACGGCCACCGTATGTAGCCGACGACTTGTCCAAGAAAGTTTCTTTGCGAAAAGCAGAAAGTGCATTAGATTGAAGTCAACCTACCAGGCAGCAAAAATATGGGCCATTTGCTATTTTTGCAACTGTCATTTCTGACATGCACTCTCCAGCGGGTGTCCAACAGTTGAGACAAATAACTAAATATAATAATAAGCCTGGAGTCGGCCTGAAATTGGTTCATTATAGGCGAAATTAATTTGCAAATTCTTTTTGAAGAAATTTCATCAGACAATATAACCTTGGCATGTCCCTCTAGTGAAACAAATGACAGTCTGCTTGGATTCTATGGGAGGAGTCGCAGGGCAAAAAATGCACTTGACAATATGATTATGCAGGTAGAATCCTCTGTGGTCCAAAAACATATCAAGAGCGGACGTCTATCTGTTGCTGAAAGTTTTGCTTGCCTAGCAAATGTGTTTGGCAAAAGGACACTATAATCATAATACATTATACTATACTTTAGCACACTGTACTAATGTATAAGTATCGTATTAGCATTAGAAAAATTACGTACTGATCACATGGATACCTCATGTAATAGGGCCTATACAAATCATTCACGGACCCGAATAATCAACAGAATATTAAGTTTCAGCAGGCATTTGGGAGGGAATAAAATGACGCATTTAATATAAGTTGGCTGGTTTAGTTACTTCGATTGTCATAAAAATGTATATTATCGTGTTATCCTAGTATGTGTAATTAAGCACCATAGATTGCTTTTTATTTTTTTCTTATTTCTCGTACGATTAATTTGTCTTCGAAAACCAGAACTGACAGCAGACTTTTAAAGCAAACCGTTTGTGCATGTTTAGGCAAAATAGGGGGCAGTCATCATGGAACAGGACAGTAGCTCCAATTAGTATTAGTATTATTTTGCAGGAATGGCAGAAATACAAACAGATGAGAGTCAGCGACTCTGAAATCGAGCCTTGATTCAAACAAGAACAATATATCCAACATAAGGCTAATGACTTCGATCATCCACCTTACCCTACATAATAAGCTACTGTTAGTACTAATAACGAGAAACTGATTTATTGATTGCTTTCGTCCGTATTCCGCACTACAGAATGTATTAACTAAGGCCATCTGATCACCAATAGAAAAACCATAAGTCTGTCTGATATTTCGGACTCCAACATGGGAAAGCAATAGGATGGGCCCAGTGGTGTGATTGACCAAATCGTGCAGTGTTTACAAGTCATTTTATTAAGGCCAGAGTTAGAATTATGATCAGAGTAAGAGCTCAGGATTAAGTTATGGCAGGAGTTCGTTTTTATGGTTTGTTTTAACTCATGCATTAAGAATTTGGTTTTAGGGTTGGCATCGAGGGCGACTGTCACGTCTAAGCAGAATTCTAGGCATAAAATTTCATAAGTATTCTGCCTGCTTCCTCAGACTTTCCCCGTAACGCAAACTACAAAAAATAAGTATTTCAACCGTAACCCGCAGACCGGCCATAAACCGTAGCACTATATCTAAGCAAATCGCGCTATAGTCCGTAAGCATGCATGGTAGGGAGTAAATTCATGACTCCACTGGGAGATTCTCAAAGGCATTTTCACCTCATATTTTTGGCCTAGATATCAGAGACATTTTTTACTGAAAAAGGAGGCTCAAAAATTATTTTTTTAGACATCACGAGCTGCAAGAAATACGATGTAAATTTTATTGTCCTTGATTGACCCGTAAACCGTCAGCATTGTCCTAATCTTTAACTGCCGGGCAGGAGAATTATTTAATAACCTGTCCAAAACCGCAGGCATGATCATTCCACGAACTTCGTGGAAGAACCTGCTCATTTGGTAACATGTGGGCTGTTTAATTGTGACTTTTTGTCAATGGTTTTCCACAGAATTAGTTTTGGTCAAAGGCAATTCGTCCTTAACTACCGTTTTCTCACTGTCTTGTGCTGTGCTTTGAATTTTTATTTCGGTTTAATGGTTAAACGATATATATTTTGCACCAGTCGCATAAATAGTACACACTGCAACATTACTTTTTAGTTTAGTTTACAGGATATGTATGAAACCTGTGTTTGAGGATAAATGTGCAGATGAATGCAAGACATACGTTTGCGAAGGCTAGCATCCGAATTCATAATTTTATGGTGACCAGATGGATAGGGCATTATCTAATTCACCAGGGTAATCGAGTAAACTTATCTGTGTAGTGAAGTTTTTCTCAGCGATTTCTCTTAAATTTTGTCAAAATAAAGTATTATTAATATAACATATTGTCGACCTAAACAATAGTATGTTTTGATTAATGTTGCGCTGTACCAACCTTCTCCAATGCCTCAATGACATATGTATCCAACCGCGTGAGCCATTTATTTTGTGGTATGGTCATTTTGCAATAAGATTTTCTCCCCTGTACTCAGGTCATATTGAACGCTCCTCTTCGCAGCGGCACGCGGATAGTGATTTATAATTTGCCTTAAATCCTCACGTTCCTCATATTGCATGCATTTATATGTGAATGTACTAGTATATATACCCTTCTTCGGCAGAAATAGTAGTTTTTGGCTGTATTGGACGTAAGAATACAATAAACACGCTTATTGATAAATAACACGACAGTGTTGCTTCAATAAGCTCTGTTACAAGAGCAAATTAATTTTAAAATCGGTTTACTGCACAGGCCGATCCCGCCGCTCTTCAATTGTCAAATTTTTTCAAAAAATGTGATAAATTAATGTACTTGAATAAAATCCATTTTTCCAAAGTTTACTATCGAGAAGCCCCAACTAACCTTCCCTTATTTTTTCATCCTCATTTGATTTGGGGCATTTGGTAACGTTTTATAAACTTGCTAACAGCTGTTTACTGATTCCGATGTAACTGACCATTTTTCCATAGACTTCAGTTCAGCTTTGAAATTTTGCTGCTAATCTGTTCGTCTCTTTAGGACTATTACACGGGGTCATGTTAAATAATTAAAAAACAAGCAGTGTTTATGATTTATCGGTAGCTCCAGTGGTTACCGCTATGTATGCGATACCAACTTTCACAGGTAACCGCAAATACTCTTCACTCTGGTGAACAGAGTTCGACGTTACCTATAAGATGAAATGTCATTTGAAATTTTTTCTGTAAATTACAGTAACCCCTAGAGGCCATAAAATGCCTAGGAAAGGGAGAAGCCCGACCTATGTTAGATTGGTTAGTGTGACATTCTCACTGACGTGAGACCCTAGCCACCTCCTTTTGTGTGATCTGTGAGGTCCCCTTGAGCTACCATAAGCTACTGGGTCAGCGCCTGTTAGCAACAGCAAAAGCGGCGGCCATCAGGTTACGAAAACCTACCCTATGCGACCAGAAGAACCTCGTTCAGGCTCGGCGCCTACCGTAGTCAAAGGCTGAATAACCAGATACAACTTTCTGCGACCTTCCGCTCTCGCCTAGCCTGTCTTTTAAAAACTAACAGTGTGCAAGCACTGTTATCAGATGATTTATTGGCTCAGACATTCGGCGGGTACACAGGCGAGAAAAATGCATAAGGTTAACAGTTGAACATATATCCTGATGGAAAATCAGCGCATTCTTAGCTACAATAATTGTGAGTCTGTAGGACGTAGGTCGAGCGTTACCACCTTACGAACTATCAAGCCTCTCATGATGAGAAGTTTGGGGCAACTGGCGGACATGAGGTCAGATTGTAATGGATCCGTCTGAATGTGGTCTTTGTGAAATTCCTACCCGGTCTTGTGTGTGGCACGCGTAGACGGCTATTTGGCTTTGCCGACCACCAGGCCTTATCCCACCTTCAATTACTAGGATATTCACTTTCCATCGGGGCCAGGTGAGTCAGAGAGACGAAACCGTGCAGTAGATGCTGTGGAAATCTAACCCACATGCAGGTCATTGGGTACTGCGCCCGCTCTGCGGAACATGGTGTCGATACCGTCATTCCTAGCGGTCGAACTTCTCAATGGTCATGTGCCCTTGCCTATTTAAATACCAATAGTGTTATTAACCGCAATGTATACAATTTGGCGTTTCTTTATTCTGCACTACGATGCGATCAGGCAGTTTGATTAACTGTCAAAATATCCGAGGTATTTGGGCTTAACCGCATAAAACGTCATTCAAGTAGACACTGCAATAAGAAAAACTTAACACAGTGGTGTCCTAGGCACAGAAATATAAAGGAGACATAGTCATTACGTTCTGTATCATTCCTCAGCTTCATCCGCTTTCTGCACTTTCATTTCAGGTCTTTCGATTAAGTTCTTCAAAAGAACAATTCAGGACTTGAAAAATCTGCCCCACATCCCCAATGCTTCCTCCCTTTTTTTTGTCTGACTTCATATACACGTTCATTTTGGTGCGAAACTGGATACTGAATCCCAGTTCGGGGGTCTAGTCAAGGATCCCCTTGGAAGACGCATTTGTGTACGAGGTTGTCTCTCTTAGACTGCTGTGTGGCTACAATCTCTGTGTACACTCCGTTTTCTCGCTGTAATAAACAGTGCTTACAGGAGACGCATAATCTCTCTCTCTCCATATGCATCAAAAATATATGCGTATCACTCAGTGTATACTGACTTCCGCCTGGGCAAAGGAGACGTTAAGACGACGGGGACTAGCTCAGAGGATGCTTCAGCCCACCTTGCCTTCGATGTCTTTCCAAATTAGTAGATGATCGTGAACTTTGAAAGTTCTGTGACTTTTTAACTACCCATGCATATTGACGTTTAGGTCGCAGTTCGCAAAGGACAAGCAGTTAAACAGATTCAGGCGCAAGAGGAAGTATTTCCCTACTGACCAACGATCAATATGGAATGGGTCCGTGCCATTGTACGGAGGTCGATCTAGGAAAGTTTTGAAGACAGTAGGCAACAAAGTGCGAAGAAAGTTTCCGAGCGATGTTACATATTCGTGCGTTCCCGGCTTTCTTGTTACATGGCATAGTTTACTTTTGATGAAGATCCAATGCGGTCAGTGCTCAGAACTAGTGGTAGAATTTTGCTCGGTTTCAAAATTGTCCTTTTTTTCCGGTGCTGGCGGACTATCTGGTATTCATTTTCCGTGAGTAATGTTAATCACTTAAGGTGTTGTCTGAATACTTGAGTAAAAGTTAAGACCCCTTTTTATGGCAGTAGTAGGTAAATGATGCTACCACTGATCTTGTTGCCCGCATGCTGTAGGTTGACGAGCCGGGAAACACAATAAATGACACTCGAGTGGCTGGTATTGAGTAAATTTAACTGTCTTCTTTAAACCATTACTTTTACAGTCATTCCGGGAGGTGTTCTCGTGTTCTCTCGGATAGGCGCCGACTCTTGCGATCAATAGAACCTTCCCCACAGTAGCAAGTGAAGAAGTATATGCACATTGAAGTGGCTTGAGAAGGCAACCCATCCTTGCCTCCTGGGCAAAAAGTAGGATTAGTAGGTAATAATATTCGAACCCTTGCCGCTGGAAGGTTCATGGGACAGCTTGGTGATGACGCCTCTTAGGAGGTACCTCACAGACTGTTGGTTAGATCGCTTAGTTGACGTTTTTTCAGCTTGCCCATGAAAACATCGCTTATAGACTCAAAGAGGCAAGCCCAAAGCAGCGCCGTCTGTTTGTCTCTAGGGTTGGTTGGGTATGACTGACTTATGACGCCTAATAAGCCAGAAGTGGCCACTCTGGTCTCCCTTGTGTTAAATGGTGTTCCAACATATGCATATGGTACTAGTCGCTGTAAGACTGCCTGCGAGGGTTCCAGATTGAGCCCCAAGGCAAAATGGGACCAGCATGTTCCGTAACCTGATTGGTGAGGGCCCATCCACCATAATTAGTATTCTCGATCACGACCGTCAAGACAACGAGCCTGTGGCTCATTTCTTGAGCGTTTGACTCAAGAACCAAAGTACCCGGGTTCGAATACCAGGTGGTTCACACTTGGGATTGGGTATGGCTGGCTGATGACGACTAATAAACCAGAAATGGCTATTCCAATGTCTCTTGTTTTTGTCGGTATTCCATAATTCTAATAAAGGCTCCTTGCGTGTGTTCACCAGAACTCTTAATTACTTCTGCTTGGTTGACAAGAATTCGCAGATGCAGTCTACTGTCTCGGTGACCGGAGCGCTTGTAAAAATTGAGAAAATGTCTAGCGAGATCATCTTCATGTTGTTGAAGTAAGGATATCTGGCGCCATCCAGGAATTCAAAGATATCTCGATAACTACGTTGTGCTTTATTTCGTCTTTTTGACCACTTCGCAATCACAGGATAAGAAACCTTTCGTGTGTCCAAAATTAGACTAACCGGCAGGCCGTCCCTGTTCAGCTTAGGTAAGCCATTCTGTTTTACATCTCCTCATTCGTCGTCCAATTCATCTACGACACCAAACGCCAAAACCGTGTCTCACCGGGATCCATTCAGCACTCGTGAAAGGCAAGCATTGGCTGAAGTACGTTGATTTTGAAGACAAGGCCGCTTCTGCGTACTATATGACAGTTTTACCATGACGATCGACGATGCCCACCGCGTACAGGTATGGCGACTTGTCTATGCGCTGAGAGACTAGCACTGAATTTCCATAAATCTTTCCTCTCCCACCCAACTGGACCCGGCACCAAGGCCAAATCACAAGGACTGGAGGCTCGAGCGTAGTGGCAGACAAAATTGTACACTGCACATCTACACACGCTACACGTGACGTCGTCATCGCAGAAAGGGCTGGGCGTTTTTCACAGAAATAGGGAGCGGCCCGGATCCCACCTGGGAGGCGGTGCTATTCAGACTATATTAAGGAGTGGTTATTGCAACTTGGCTGTCCGTCCTGACAGGATCGCGTCAGTGGACGGTCAGCCATGGCGTGACTTTGAGGGGGCCAGGATAACTTTGAAGGGCGCCGGGATTTTACAGCAAGCAAGGTGCTGAAAGTGTCGTGGGAATTGATTCTACAGCGTATACTTCACTCTGTCTTACCTCTCCTATGCATCATTCCGTTTTTCAGATTGACCAACGACCTCTTGCTGGGATTGATCGTAGAGTTTACTCACCGGAGTTTAATTTTTCCACACAAATCAGCGACGAGCGCCCTCTCACCTGAGAAAACTCATCATCCACACTGCACCGCATACCCTGCCCAGACGCAAAGACAAGTTTGCAAATTAGGTTGCCTTATAAATGTGGAACTGCCAATTTTAGTCGGTTAAATTCTGGTGAAATCTCATTTAGCTGAGGTTTTGTTCTGCAGGCACATTTGATGGACACCGTATGGTTAGCCTACAAAAACAATAGTAGTTCCCATACCCAACTTAGCCACTTGGTAGATTAGGAATGCTAGCGTGTAAACGCTTTCCCCGCGACATGGCCATTCACTGGATTAGTAGGATAAGAAGAGCGCTATCAGAACTGGATGGCCACAGAGGGCACCGCGTGTTACATCGAAAGGCATGGCCACCATAGTGGAGCAGACGGAGTTCCATACCATCCGAACAATGACACTAACAAACCCGCTTAGTTATTTAGTGGATTTGCATAATAAAGACTAGGCAAGCTGGGATCGAAGCACGCGAAGGGCAGCGCGTATTAACTGATACCTGATGCAAACAGGGATGGCGTCGAAGCATTCCCCTCCTCCGTTGCACAGCGACACACTGGGTCAAAATGGTAGAGAAGGTAAAAACACGTAATACGTGTAAGATCAGCGCGCTCAAACCTACTTAAATTGCTTCAGTATGCAAACAGTATGTTCTCAATGAAGTTGGGCGGCAGAACCAAACCTCGTCCTCATTTAGACCAAATTTTTCTCCTTCTACCTTCCTAGGCGAAAATTCGATTAACCTGCGTACATTTGTGAAATGTCATTCAAAAACCACAGATAGTCGTATAACTGATGGACAGACTATAAACGTAAGTCCTGTTCACTTTTTTCTCCGGGTTCAGATTCACTGTTTTCGGCCTGGTTTGCGAAAAACGGGAAAATCTACTTAATACTAAGGTGCCTTGCAACCAAACTCAACAAAATAAGAAAAAAGACCACTCATGTTTTACCTCCACCAGAGATACCCATGATATGATAAAAGTCTTTGCATCGACAAACAGAAGGTTGCGCGTTGTTCATATGCACCCATGGGAACAAGCACCTTCCCGCAGCAAAAAGATCCTCGCGCCAACTTGCCGACAGATTAAGGCTAATATCATGTTTGCGGTTGAGGTGGAGATCAAACTTAGTGTCCTGGTCAGCCTTTGGTTTAAGGTAAGTAGGAAAAAAATTGCCCTCCCTGGAATTTAGCGCACGACTAACCGTGTTGCAGGAAGTGGATTCTGTTGGAGGGGGGGTCAGATAAAAGTTTTCGACCAACGAAAATTCTAGCGTCTGCCGGATTTCCTGTCAACAGTCAGAAAATAAACGAAGCAAAAGAATTGTTTGAAAGCACAGTCCTAAAAGTTTATAAGTCCTAAAATGGAATTCTACGGATAGTGAGAATATTAAAACTTGCAAAAAGGTTTTGCCGAACGGAAAAAAGTATTCGTTTTTTATTTTCTATGATGTAGTTTTTAGTAGGAGGTGCACATTTTCGTTGAACTGACTAAGTTGTCCCTAACTTTAATACGAGTCGTCCTTTATTGTTTTCGTAACCTGTCTCTTTCAATCAACTGCTGTTTCATCGGTAAGGTAAACGCCGTTCGATGAAAGGTTTGATTCGCCATTAAAAAGTACCACTGGAGTTTATTTGCACACCGCGATTCAGATAATGTAGCGTATCACAAGCAATATTGCAAGACAATGAAGCATTTTAAGAAGGCACTCTGGGACAGCGCATGTCCGACTCAAGCCGAAATTTTGCTTTAAAAACACCTGAAATTTGTTTATTTGTCATACACGCGCAAGGGAGAGCATGAATTACTGATTTGTTTTGTATAAATCACTTATGACAACTGGAAAACACACGCACGTCGCGTAGACATAAATAGCATAGTTCAGGCAGAAATGGGGTGCGAATTCTTGTCTCAATAAGCATTCCTGACCGTTTATATAAGATATTCATGTAGACGTCTGCTCTTAAAGTTTTCATTTGGGAAAATCGAGTGTAGATTTGGCAACACTATAGGCTAAAACAAGGCGGATTACAGTATTAAGTCTAAATCGTGAAATACCTTGAATTTCACAAGAAACTTTTGTAAAGCAAGGCCCAAAAATGTCTAGTTCCCAGAGTCATAGACCAGTAAAGCAGTGGCCGTTCTGAAAATGAAGATAACATTTGATTTGCAAATTGTTGTAT